TCACAAAATTTCTACATAGTATATAGTGAAAAAATCAACAAAGGGCCATAATTCTGTTAAATTTGGTCGCAGCAAAAATTCCTTCCTTTACTACCATCTACACATTAAGGTTGTTCATCTCTGGAAGTTTAAGCAAAATCTGCCATCCGGTTTAAGAGGAGTTGCGTTCACAAGATTTCGGGACGTACGGACGGACGGACGGACGGACGTACGGCGTGACGGACACTCGGACGGACAAGTGCAACGCTATATGCTCCCACTCTGTGGGGGCATAAAAAATAAACAAAGTGATATTTTGACTTCCATACAAAATAATAAATCACTAAAACTATACTGAATTCCAGAAGCTTCTTGGACCTTTAAACAAGAATAATATCACAACACCAGAAATAACCAAAATCTAACACAAGATCTCAACTGCTTTGATAAATTAAGTACTTTTATAACAAGTTAATGTCTATTATGACCACTGATTTTTTTCTCCTAAAGTCCAGCCTGACCAAAGGTTAATTTGTCCCAGTGTTTCAGGCAATTTTGCTTTACACCTGCAGAGGAATTTACCAATTAGAGCAGTCTATAATTTTGCTTTCCCCTTCATCTTTGTCCAATATAATGTCCACACTGGGCGATAATTATTATCTATTACCAGCTAAGCAAGTGCACCTGCTAATATCAGACTTTTGCTTTATCTATACATTTATTGTCATTTCTAGTCAAAGAAAGTAGATTTGTGAACAGTTTCCAAAGGCTAAATTCATTAACGAACACAACTTTGCCATTGGTCTTATAGAAGATGACTTATCAGCCGCAATTAACCGAAATGTCCAACTGATGTGTCCGGATGAAAATACAAAGTGTACTAAGTTCTTTTTTGTACTGATTTTTCTCTTAAGTTCCTGATACCATTACAGTGCATTGAACTAAAGTCTTGTACTGGTCAAGAACATTTTAGTACTGTACCGAGAATTTACTCAAGTAATCAGTGAAAACTTTCTTATCAAAGTTTTCTCTTAAACGCAAGCACTGATAGTCAGTTTCTCAACTTCCTGTTTCCTATTTGCTTACAGTGTATGTAAAAGGAAATTTACCTTTAAAGGCACATTATGCCTCAGAAATGTATATGTTTTTTTATTCAATAGAAAGGGGTTTTATGTGTTTTATAAAGTTGTAATAATTGATTAAAAACATGTAAGATGCCTATCATCTGAGAAAATAGCATTGAATGTGAAATAATATGTCACAAAAGTTGCAAAATAAAAACAAAGTGGTATTTTGATTTGCATACAAAAATGCTATAATGCAAACAATCAAAAGAAATGCAGGAAATCTAAACATTGAACTACATAGGATGAAACAAGTCACATAAGACAAAATCTGAACTTTTTTTATTAGAAATTACAGATTCACAACTTTTATTAAGTGATATCAAATTTAATCTGATGTTAAAGCTGGAACAATAATCTGTTAACAAGTTTCTAAATTACCTCACAAGTATCATTTAAAACAGAAAATAAATCTTTAATTAAAATACAAGAGTTGATAATTAGATAATGCCCCTATACACACAATACAAAATGTCTTAAAAAGATCTTAAATAGAAAATAAATCTTTGAAATACAAGAGAAAGTACTTTGATAATGCCACTATACATGCAATACAAATGTTTTCTAAAAAAGATCTTAAATAGAAAATAAATCTTTGAAATACAAGAGAAAGTACTTTGATAATGCCACTATACATGCAATACAAATGTTTTCTAAAAAAGATCTTAAATAGAAAATAAATCTTTGAAATACAAGAGAAAGTACTTTGATAATGCCACTATACATGCAATACAAATGTTTTCTAAAAAAGATCTTAAATAGAAAATAAATCTTTGAAATACAAGAGAAAGTACTTTGATAATGCCACTATACATGCAATACAAATGTTTTCTAAAAAAGATCTTAAATAGAAAATAAATCTTTGAAATACAAAAGTAAGCTGTAACTTTGATAATGCCACTATACATGCAATACAAATGTTTTCTAAAAAAGATTTTAAAAAGAAAATAAATCTTTGAAATACAAGAGTAAGTACTTAGATAATGCCACGGAAAATGCAATCCAAATTCCTGAAAATGTAAACCAAACCTCTGAAATACCTCAAAAGCCTAAATTAGCTTTAGACAATAAAAAAAAACTGTCACATAATTCAACTCAGGGAATTAGTATCGTAAACATCCAAACTCTTAAATAATAAAGACTTAGCCTCAAAAATAGTGTATCAGACTAAAAGACAAAAAATGTGAAAATAGTAAGCAGATCAAAACTCTCTTCAATAGAAGAAAATTAGTGTCTAAAATAACAGTGAACAAACCTCTTAAATAATAAAACATAAACAAGAGTGGTTTGAGGAATACTAAAATACTGAATATTTTGTCTAAGAAAACCTCTTTCCCAACAAATCAGTTATTCCTTTGGCAGACTTTAACAAATTTTCTTGCAGTCATTAATATTGTCTTAGAAATAGATATTCCCTAGACATAAAAGAAATCCATTCTAGAGCAAATAACAATCTTGTTACAGGCAAAAATAACATTGTCCTATATTTCTTTTTTTTTTAATTCCATTTTGAAATTTCAATATCTTCCTAATTAAAACAATACCACACATAGCAGTGAATTCAGTAGTTTTATAGAGATATGAATGGGGGATCCATGTCATAAATATAACTTACATTTGAGGAATTAACAATAAGAGAGTATTTCATTGCCAAGTTACACTACAACAATGCTGTGTGCAATGGTACCAACTATACTAAGTTCAAATTGCAATATGTTAACCTAAATAATCAGTTGAGTTTTTCTTAAAGGAAAAATGTTGCCAAAATGTTGGAGACTGAATAAAACATACATCTTAAAACAGAATAATAGGGGAAGAATCTTGGCCAAAAAATTAGCTGCAAAAAACTACAAATCCTGGCCACAAATTTGTTACAAGTCTGAATTGACCAATTTCAGATCAACACAGCAATTTCTTGCACATTTTTAGAATTTGAGAAAACTAATCTCAAAGTGACAAATGATATTTTTTAATTGACAAATCTGCTTCAGCAGTTCACCATGTCATATTTCAGGAGGGGACCACTGCCTTATTAACACATATACACTGAAGATAGTGAAAAATATGCTGAACAATATTAATACTTCTTTTTCTTTGGTTTTCAAACTTCAAATCTTTAAACAAAAGCGATATTTTTATATCTTTTACATAGCAAATATATAAATTTAAGCATGAAATTTCAATTTATGCATTAAGCATAAAATTCAATACCAGCAAAATTAAAAAAACATTTGAGCCTGAACTTACAATTAAAACAGTTTGTACGAAATTTCATGCCAGCAAAATGAAATTATATCACCATACGGTATGTTTTCATATTACTATTTTAAAATTAATTTTTACATTTGTGTCTCTTCACAATTAATCAGAAATTTAGATATTACTTATTTATACACACTTATGCATTTTTCTCTTCACAGAAAGAAAAGAAACAGGGAAAGGGTTTTTTATAACATATTACGACCCTTGAATATATTGCAACAAACTACTATTCAGGGTCAAAACTTTGGAATTCTCTTCCCTTAGATATCAGAAATTCCACAAATTTACAGTCGTTCAAAAATAATTATCTTAAATGGTGGTTCTCTGGTGGGAATAAGACACATCAATTTGTATTATAAAATGATAAATGTATAACTAAATTGCAATGTTTATATTATTATATAATGTTTTTTTCCCTAGATTTTCATTTTACATGTTTCTTAACTACAATGTATTTGTAATTTTGTTGTTGTTTTATCATACCTTTTGTTTGTAAATGTTTATATTATGTACATTGTATATTTGATAGAGGCTCATAGGGAAGACTGGGCATGCCCAACTATGTTGCCTCTTTAAGTAAAGTCTTTATTATTATTATTATTATTATTACTCAAGATTTTAACACAACATCACATTGTATTGTTAAGTCATCACTGATATTTTTTATCACTATATTCAGCACTTACAATGTTCAACTATACAATATCACTTTATAAATCTATTACTAACTTACCTTATTTTATCAATACTTTCGGCAGCAAAAAAACAAACAAATTTTTTCGTGAGAGATGTAATGAAAAACGGTTTCAAAAATAAAAAGGAACACCAGTATAACAAAAGCAGTGTCGACAAAAACACCCTTTGGTACAAACCCACATACCCCACCGCCCCCTAGCAATTTTATTTTTATTGCTTGAGAAAGACTTTGAGTGTTGTAAACATTATCCTTTTAAATACATTATAAAACAAGTGTTTAATGTAGTTTGTAGACATTTTTCAAACAAGCTTCAGTTTAAGTTTACATTGTTTTTCAAAATAATCCACACAATGCAAATTGGCCTGCAACAAGGCTTATTGCATAGATTTGTAGTACAGGTTTGACTACAAGTATCAATATTGCAATAATTGCAATACAAATTTAGCTATAATCATTCTTACTGCTATAATCATTCTTACTGCAATAAAACCAATACAGGATTAGCTATAATTATTTTTATTGCAATATTTGCAATATGTGTTTCAACTATAATAATGGCTATTGCAAAATTTGCAATGAAGGTTTAATGATAACAATTGTTATTGCAGTATTACCAATACAGGTCTAACTATAATTATTCTAATTGCAATATTTGCAATACATGTTTGACCATAATAATGGCTATTGCAAAAATTTGCATAACAGGTTTGGCTATACTAGTAATTATGGTTATTGAAATATTTGCAATACAAGTCTGACCATAATTCTGGTTATTGAAATTATTGCAATACAGGTTTGACTATAACTATTGTTACTGCAGTATTTGCAATATAGATTTGACCAGAATTATGGTCATTGTAATATTTGCAATATAGGTTTGACCATAATTGAACATAAGCAATCACCACCACCACTTTAAACTTGTCACTATCACTTACCTCTGGGTCGAGAAACACATGGCAATCAGCTCGCTCCCCATCTCTTCCTGCACGTCCTATTTCCTGAACATAACTCTCAAAACTTTTGGGCATATTGTAATGAATAACACCTCTGACATCAGATTTATCAAGTCCCATTCCAAATGCCACTGTAGCTACAACAACACGTAATTTTCCTGACATGAAATTATTTTGAACCCGCTTCCTCTGTGCTGGGGTAAGACCCGCATGGTAACTCTCGGCATCCCATTCTAATTTGGGGCGTTTTGAACGTCCTTTGGTGACTACCTCAGTTGGAGCACCAGTATTCATACATGTTCTTATGATTGTGGCAACTTTGTCCGTCTGGTCACGTCGAGTACAGTAAATAATGATTGAATCCAGCTTTCCAAATCTTTCACCCTTCAGCAAACCAATCAAAGCCTAAGATATATAAACATATTTTTCATGTCTTAAACATTGCAATAAAAAATTAAATCATTACTCTACAAAAAATTGTTTTTGTTGATCATAATTTCATGTCAAAAGTGGCCAGGCCAAGAATTTTCATGTTTGTTTTGTTGGATTTGACATCAAACCGACACAGTCACACTATAAAGGTCAAAATACTACTTACCAGGTTTACTGGTGGAGAAAGTTTATCGGCGCCTCTTTATGCAAGCGGGCACCTGAGTAAAACTACCAACCTTTTAAAAGTAAGTCCTTGTATAAAGACAAGTTTCTGACAAGATTCAAACCACAGCAACGACAGGCAAGTGATTTTAAATTGTCCACCATAACCGCTCGGCCAACTGGCTTTTCAGAGAGGAAAAATCCTATATGCTCCCCTATCATTTCAGGCAGAAGAGAGCATCAAGGTAAAGCAACACTTAAATCAATAATAAAATAAGATTGTTTCTTCAAATTACAAAATTTATAATCAGTTGTGGGGGCATAAAAATGCAAAGTTCACTAAATTAAACTCAGTAGGTAGCCTCTAGGAAAGAGTAATGATAATTTTGATTGTGTTAATTGTTATTGACCAAAATATGAAGTGTTTTTTACTAAAATCTGATTCAGAAAAGCCCCCCAAAAATGGATTTAAATTTAATTCTGAGTATATTTTTTTTGTAATCCCTTGTAGAATTTTCCATTTTATGAGCTTCACATTGCAATTGCAATGTACATTTTACTTGAAAATAAAAGTATTTAAGGATGCTTATAAAACAATTTTCAAACATCGAAGAATATGTAAAATATGTACTGCAAATATTTGAACATATTATTACATTAAAATATTTGCATTCATTTCTTATTGAAAAATTTTACTTGGACTTTATAAAACATAAATTTTTTATTGCCTCCCTTTATTTACATGAAATGTTAAATTCGATAAATATAGCTTTTTTGGAATTTATATAAATAATAAATCTTAATTTGAGCATCATATTTATGATAATATTAAAACCATAAAACATTTGTGTTACAGGATCTTTTATGCACACTATCAGGAAAACTGAGGGAAAAACAATTAATTCGATCTGCATGCTGTGTAACCCTATCCCAGCTGCAAAATTATGTTAACATGCTTTTATTTTCTATCATTTCTTCAATAAAATATTTCATTGCATTGTGCAATTGTGTCTGAAAGCTATTATTGCTATTATTTCAGTATATTAAACAACCCTGCTGATTCTTGCCAGTCTAATATTTCACGCAAAACAGGGCATTAATGTCAATCACAAAAGCTTGTTTTCTGTTTTTAACTTAAAATGTTCCTCTTATGTAAGAGCAATGATTTCTAATAAATTATTTAGCAGTAAAACCAATTGATAAGATGTTCCACAAACACAAATTCAGTACTGTACATATAGAACCATTGTTAAATTGAAATAAACAAGAAAACTATGTTGTAAACAACCACATTTCCTGGGATGGGCAAAGGATCATGGCCATCTACAAAGTGAATGGTTGGTAAGGCCATACAAAATTAATCTTTAGACTCTCATCCAGGTTTCAAGAAATAATTGGGGCGGGTGGGTGGAATTTATAATTTATAATTTATTTTATCCATCATTTTTTCAGCTTCCGTGGTCAAGACAAGCAATTATCATAGTATTGCAAGCAATCCATAAGTCCCCTACCGATAAGAGCCCAAGCAACATTCTGAAGGGCCATTGGCCATTCACTTTGGTTCCTATTTTAAGTAAATTTGTTGAAAAGGTTCTTTAAAAGTGATCACAGGAAACAGTTTTAATGTACAGACAGACGGACTGAAGGACACTCTAAAGTTATTTTTTAAACATCCCTGTTATCAAAATATAACATTTTTTAAATCCTATCATGATTGAAGAAGGTGGAGTAAAAATTACCAATTTCTCAAAAAAAAGTCTAAGTTCAAAAGGGGCATAATTCTGGAAATAGTCTTGCTAGAGTATTGAACACTCACAAATGTTGAGTGATAGTAAGAAACATTTATATGAAGTTTGAAGTAGATACATTCAGAAAAAGAAGTTATTAAAAAAACAATGTTTTTTTCATGAAAATTTTAAGTTCAAGGGAGGTAATTCTGATAAATTTTGTGCTAGAGTTGTAAACCTTGTCACATATGATGTGGTTGATGACAAGCAATTTATATTTAAAGTTTGAAGAAAATACCTTAAGAAATAAAGAACTTATAGTAAAAAAACTTAAAAATTAGAATCAGAAATCTTGAAATTCAGTCTATTTGTTGCCATAGCAACCAGAATTTTCAACATAGGAAGATAAGAAAAGAATGTGCATAATTTCTATACTGCCATCTACCCATATGTCAAGTTTCATAAACATATTTTCAGTACTTTTGTGTTATCACTGGATCCAGGTTATGTGTAAAAGTTGCCATATTTTCAGTCTATTTGTCGCCATAGCAACCAAAATTTTCAACATAGGAAGGAAAGAAAAAGACGTGCATAATCTCCATACTGCCATCTATCCATATATCAAGTTTCATAAAAATATTTTCAGTACTTTTTGCGTTATCGTGGGATCCAGGTTATGTGTAAAATTTGCCATATTTTCAGTCTATTTGTTGCCATAGCAACCAGAATTTTTAACATAGGAAGAAAAGAAAAAGACTTGCATAATCTCCATACTGCCATCTATCCATATATCAAGTTTCATTAAAATATTTTCAGTACTTTTTGCGTTATCGCGGGATCCAGTTTTGTGGACGGATGGACGGACTGACGGACAGACAGACAGACGGACGGAGGGTAAACCTAAAGTCCCCTCCGGTAAACCGGTAGGGGACTAATAAAGTCTTTTCAACTGGCAAAATTTTTCAAATATATTGATGAACGTCGCACCATTTCCACCCAGATTTTGATCAAAACTAAACCCAAACCAATCACAAACAGTTTTCTTGTTTACTGCATCATATATTTCACATATGACGAACATTTTGACAATTTTACTGATCATAACGAACGTATTTAAAATCTGGATCACTAGACGCTGTAAACCTCAGTTTGATTTTTATGCGTTCGTCCCGCAAATATTCAACCACGATTTTCAGACGAATTTTCGTCCACAGACGTCTGCAAAATGAACATTTTTTTTTTTTCATTTTTTTGAAAATAAATTATTTTTGAGCGGAAAGATTTTGATACGGGCGGGCGAAGATGAGAGTCTAAAAATTAATTTTCTGTGGCCTAAATGCCATGAATTTTATCGGTACTGTAAAAGCCTGGGATAATAAAGAGAATACAATTCTTAGCCTTAGCCTTTTTGTTTTTTAACTTGACATACTTCAAACAGAGGGGAGCATACAAAAACCTATAGTAAAAGCATGATTAAGAATATAGACAAATCTATTTTTGACCAAATTGATCTAAAAACCTAGCCTAAAGGTAGAGGTCAATGCAAGATCCCATTATACCAAATATCAAAGATATTGGAAAAGAAATGACAAAATTATGACGAAATGTAGCACAAGAGGACCATGTTAGCCATAAATAGCTCACCTGAGGACATTGTTTATACAGACAAGATTTCCTATTATTAGTTTTATCAAATTCAGTCAAGAAGTTGAGGAGGAAAAGTGTTCGGGGTTTAAGAAATGTGGCATAAGTAAAATAATATTAACCGACAAATGACAACAGACACTGAGCACATGTTGATCACAAGAGCTAACATTACAGGGCATTTTTTCCTTCTATAACAGGGGCCGATGTTCGGCCCCTTCACAATTCGAAATTGCACTTTTTTTTCACAATGCGGCGGAAAAAAATTCACAATCTCAAAAGAGATTTCACAAAATATCAGGACTTCGACTTCGAATCTGTACTCCTTCTCAATTCATTGTTTACTTTCGGTAACACTTGATTTTTGCCAATTGCAAACACGTAGTTTTAATCGAGTTAAATGTATTTGCGCATGTTTACCGGGTTGAAAATACCGGCTCGAAGCGGATTTTAGACTAGTCAGAAATTATAATCAAGCGTTCATCGCGCGACATTTCCGGTTTCAATATGTCACGAAATGGGAAATACAATGCAAAACAGAAAACGCAAGAACAATTCAATTTCGGCATAAAAAACAAAAACTAGACAACCGGGCAGAAGTGCTACCACCAGATTCGGTTATTACAGAATCGTGTCCTGTACCTTCGACCGCCATCATCGGTACAAATGATCGAATCCGATCATGGTAAAATAATGGTAAGAGCAGTTGAGAAACCTTGTCCTGTATCTTCGTCCCATGAAACGGGATTGCCACTATCGGAACAAATGACCGAATCAGATCATGGTGATAAAATAGGATAAAAAAGTGTAGAAACAGGACTATTATCAAATCATTGAAATTTTCAAAAATGCAAAAGAAAGACACCTTAAACTTTGAAAAAGCATGTCAATCAAACAAAATAGAAGTCAATTCAAGTCTGACAAAAAATGCAATTACTGTTTTCAATTTACAGTTTTTTTTCACAATTTCATGACGCATCACGCTTTTTTTCACAAAATGAACAGGCCAAGGCCCCTTCACAATTTTGACAAAAAATGCCCTGCATTAAGCATGTTGTGCTTAGGTGAGCTAAAAAATTTACCTTTTCAGTCACCCAGTTAACCTGTAATACCAACCTAGGGTAGAGAGGTTCATGGGAGGAACCAAAATATACCAAGTACCTAGTTATCAGTCAATATATGAAGGTACAGTGAGAAAAGATAGATAGGCTACAATGCTCCACCAAACATGCTGAGATTCATATTGCAATAAGACTGAATTTGTGTAAGTACTTGCCGAAGGACATATTGTGACCAATTATCAATGGGCACAGAGATGTACAGATAGTGTGACAAGACTCTATTCTGTTGCTAGCCAAAGATTTTAAAAATGAACTTCCTTAAACTTTGCATAAACATTTTAATCTACAAATTATACAATTGATTTTAACAACCTTTCAACCGATCATTATCGATCGTTAATCTATAAATTATGAAAACCCTGTACATACATGTTCCCTATCCTCATCTCTAGAGACAGATAGAATCAGGTTTTTAGGAATTGGTGAACCTCTGACAGTGGCTTTCCTGAAGTCTGAGATCTTTAAATGACGGGCAACGTCCGAAGCTGTCGACAGAGTAGCTGTTGCTGTCAATCCAAGAAAATTTTGTACACCAAGCTTTTCCTGCAAAACCTATGATAAAAAGAAATTTTATGTCTGAGATATAATTTCAAAAATATGTCTGTGCAATGTTCATATCTACGCTATATTTTTGATAATCTAAAGGTAAAATGTTTACATTCAAATCATGTAGATAAAATGTTCATATCTGAACTGTAAGTAAAACATATTATAGGTTAAATGTTCAAATCTCTACTTTAATTTTGACATAAATAAAAACAATTATATCTGAGCTAATTCAACATTTTATGGAACAAAGGTTCATATTTGAGCTGCCAATTCAAAATTGTATGTATAAGAGCTGTTAATTGAAGAAACATTCAAATTTGAGCTGTAAATTCAACATTTTATGTACAGTAAAAACTCGCTAATGAGACCAATGAAGGGACTTTACAAATCTGGTCTTAATAGCAGGTTGGTCTCATTAATGAGTTTGGTCAAACAGAAAACCAGACAATATATCAAGGGATATCATGTACTGTACACATGTTTAATTCTGGGCTAACCTATTTCAAATGAGAAGATATTAAGCATAGACTATTATATTTTTTAAATTCATTTATTTTCTTTTACTTTTTAACATTATAAAATTTTTAAACTTCTTTAGAGGTACAAAAAGTATTATGAATGTCTTTCACCACAAACATATTTTTACATTCTTCTTAAAAGAATGACATGACTTACTCAATTAAATCACCATTTTACTACAAAGTACAATTAACCTGTAATTATTTTCACAGTTTTCATTGCCGATAACAACTTCAAAAACCTAATCGTATCATGTTTATGTTTGTTTAAAATTATGGAACAAAAGAGATAATGATAGCAGCAACACCTCTAAAAAACTTATTGAAAGTTTCCTGTTAAATATTTCTTTGTTTTAATCCTCCAGTTATGACATTAAAGGTGTGAAATTAAGAAATTATCGACAATATTATTGATTATTTCAGGGTATGATACAAAGTAACCTTGACCTCTGCCGTAAATTGGATGTCGTTAAATGTCGTAAAACTAGGACAACTGTTGTTTACATCACGTGTCAAAAAAATTTCAGCAATATACATGCATGTCAATATCAAGGTGAGAAAGTGCCCGCGGTCGTATTTATGGGTTTCCAAATGTACAGAATTTACGAAATGGGACTGAATTTACTGGTCGTATTACGGAATAACAGGGGTGGTCTCAAAATCGGGGTTAGCGACCATTAAAATAAAGAATAAAAAATCGGGTCTTTGAAAAATCGTTTGTATTGGCCGGTTGGTCTCGAAAACGGGGTGGTAGTAAAGTGGGTTTTTACTGTATTAGAGCTATTAATTCAACATTTTATGTATAAAATAAGTATTGAAAAAATTAATTCAATAAATATTCATATCAGAGCTGTAAATTCAACATTTAATTGATAAAATGTTGATATTTGAGCAATAGATTCAATATTCTATGAAATAAATATTAATATTTGAGCTATAAATTCAACATTTTATGGATTAATTTTCAAGCTGTTTTCAATATTTTATGGATATTATTTATGTTCATATTTGAGCTATAAATTCAACAATTTATGAATTTGAGCTGTAAATTCAACATTTTTAAGGATTCAACATTTTTAAGGATTAAATATTCATATCTGAGTATTAATTCAATGTTTTTTAGGTTATTTTAATGCAGTATCTTGTAATTCCCAATTTTTTTTAAACACTACCTACACTGACAGAGCTATGCCACCAGTATGCTAACATATTATGCAATATGCAAATAACGCCCACTATCTATCATTTACCAATATCTTGAGGTAGACATGAAAGATGGATGATGTGGTCCTATGACAACATACAAAAGGTCAAAGGAAATGAAGATAGTGCAGTAAGAAAATGGATCCATTTTGTTATTTATCAAGAAAGTCTTCAACTGCCAGACAAAGAAATTTTTTATGATTATTCATAAGCAAACAGTGGCATAATGACTAAAATGTTTTCTCTTTAAACATCAAATTTGTTGATTAGAACACGAATGAGGTAAATGCTCTCAATTGGAATTAGTATGTCTAAAACTATGACTGGAATGTAACAAAGAAAAAAATATGAACGTTTTCAGTATTTCAAATTTCATATAGAAATAAAAGTATGGAAATGACTGTTCTTGATTTAATTTTTAAGGAGGGTGGGTTAAGACACTATAATACTGTTTAAATATAGCAGTGACATTTAATACCCTCATCCATGCATAAAAATTAAAGCACAGACTGGCATCTAAGAGGATGCTACAACTTTCTAAAAGCTAGACGCAGGTTTTCCTTACATGAAAGAATTAGGAAACCCCTTGCAAAATTTAAGGAAACAGAGATGAAGGTAAAGTTACTAGTATTCTTTAACTTTAACTACTTCATCACAAAAAGCCAATATAAAATACCTGGCCCCAAGGTTAAAAAACCTATTCCTGAGATCAAGCTCAAATATCAGGATTTTCATTGGTCAATTCACATTCTGTGCCTGTCTATGACCAAAATTTAATAATACCTGAGATCTGAGTTTGAGATAAGAATACTTCTTTATAAGCAAGACCCATGATAATCAATCTTTGATAAAGAATTAAACTGTATTTAAAAAGCAACACGAAAAATAATTTAAGATACTTACTTTGCATAGTCTTAGGTAGGAAGGTCTGAAGTTGTGAGACCACTCAGAGAGACAGTGGGCCTCGTCAATACACACAAAGGCTACAGGAGGAAGTGAGGCCATTGAGGCAATTAGAGACATACTACCACCAGCAATTGCTTCCGGAGAGACCAACAAGAACTGTGCCTTGCCTAACTTAACAGATTCTAGGACATTCTCACGTTGTTGAGCTGTCATATTGGTATGCAGACATACACCTCGGATACCATTTGGTAAACCAGTTACCTGAAATAAATTTTGTGAATGAAATAAAAAATTGGGAACAATTACTTTATCAATTAGAAAGGAGGTTAAAGTACCAAAAGCACTACTTGCTACTTTTAATATTAAAAAAGCTAAGCATGTTGGAGACTTCACCTATCAAAACTGCTACTTATAAGAAATTTTAATGTACCTAGTATTTTGTAGAGTTCAAGCACAGAGTTGCTACTTTTTCATCTTTATTGAATATTAGGGAAGTTATGTACAAACTGCTTCATATTAGTGTATTTCAATCTGGTGTTAAATATTGGAGAGTTCAAGTACAAAAATGCTACTTTTCTGTGTATATTTCAATGTTTAGTTGAATATTGAAAAGTTCAAATACAGAACTGCTATTTATTTGTGTAAATTTTACAGTACATGTATTTGGTATATTAAAATGTTCAAATACCAAAATTCCACTTAATATTGTCAATTTTAATGTGTGAAGGGTTTTAGTTTTATGGTTTTGATGCTGATTTCAAGACATTGTTTTTTAAGTCATATTTCAGCAGTCAATCAACCTACCAGGCTTTATTGTATAACTAACAAAAAACTAACCAGTAATTGACAATATTTTAGCAACTGACAGACTATTAATCCCATACGATTTGTGAATCTATGTCAAGCAGCCTCAATGCCTACAATCAATTGTCTAGGAGACATTTTGCCCCACCGAGGTTGAACCAATGGTTCCTGAATCACTTGGAAAATGCTCTCAATATTAAACTATGCTGAGAATTGTGTACCAGATTTATAACTTATAACATGTTAAATTGAGAGTTCAAGTACCGAAATTGCTCCTTGCAAGTGTTTAAAGTAGTACCATCATGGATAGAATTGCTAATTGTTACTGTTAAATACAAACACTGTACCTGATCTTCCATGAGAGAGACAAGTGGTGATATAACCAGGGTTATACATGTCGACCTCTGTGAATATAAATAGGCTGGTAACTGATAACAAAGCGACTTTCCCCCACCTGTAGACAGTACAACAAGGGTAGATAGACCTGAAATACAGATAATGTGATAAATGATACAAAATAAACATGAAGTATATACATATATATACAAACCTAGACAATGAGCTCAGAAATTGTAAGCAACATTATTTCAGATCATGCTCAAGTTCAATACAGGATTTTTTTGACTGCCAGGTTGTATTTTTGCGTATGAAACATGCATAAAATGTAGAAAAATATACTTGTACAGATATATAATAAAGTCTTATTATTAATGCCACTTCTTCAAAATTGTCTGCTTTCGAATTGAAAAAAAAAAACCTGTGCTCATTCACATACAATTAACCTATGCATTCATGCTCTTCCTCCTCATAACAGTAACTGAATTCTTTAACGTTAACTGAATTCTAACGTATTTTTGCCAATGCAAAACCACAAAAAAAAAATATAGAGCTCTATGGATAAATCTGAAGATGTATCATGTGTAAATAAGAATAGGAAAATGAAATATTATCGTGCTCACCACAAAGGATTCTCATGACAGCCTCCTCCTGACCTTGTCGGAAACTGTCAAATCCAAACTTTCTCAACCCTTTCATTACGAACTCAGGTGTTTCTGGAAAAAAAAAATACTTTACAAGATCAGTTCATGCAATACAATAAACAGCTCTGGTGTTACTAAAATGAATTTAAACAAGATATTGTTTCACAAACTACAATGCTCTTGTCCCATAACTGTTATGAAATAAAATAAAATAAAGGAGATAAAGGAAAAAATTAATGAATTATGAAAATTTGACTTTCAAGGTGAAGATCATGAGTCGTATTTCAATATCTCTCCTTAAGAGATTTGTTTGGGTTTTTCTACACCAATTTTAACACAACTTTTGGTCACATCTCAGCAGTTAGTCCACCTAACAGGCTTTAATGGATAACTAACAATAAATGACCAATTTTTAACAAGTGATCCACTACTTGCCTTTTAGTTTATGATTTCTAAATTGGCGGTAAAAGATAAATGACCATTATATTTAATGTCCGAGATCATCTGTCACTGAGAAATGTACTGTGTCCTAGATCTAGATTATAGAATGATGGTTTTATGACCAAGAATAAACTTGTCAACTGAGGGACAATCAAACAGCACTATTACCACATGGTATCAGCAGACATCAGGTGTTGTTATAATAATACAGAAACAATCAAGCCATTGGTAAGTATAATAAATATTCCTTAATCCAGCATAATAACTCCTTAACAGTGTGCTCAACTATTGTCAGTGCTTAATAGTGAAACAAGAGCATGGATAATGTAAAATTTTGATAGGACAGAGCATGGTGCTTTTCTAAGTTCAAACGGGGCAATAATTTGGTCAAAAACCATGTTAATGTTATGGGCCCTTGATTGTGACCTCCTGCATGTATTATCCTCTTAAATTATTTTGTGAAGTTTCAACCGATTTCCTCAAGGTTTTAGAAAAAACCAGCATTGCACACAGAAACTTAACCAAAGTGTGACATCCACATCCATGTCTAGGGATGAGTACATTAGCTCTCCCTGTTCTTCCAATACTGGAAGTTAGTGAAGTAATTCAATGTTAGTAATCATTACCACTCCTTAACAAAGGATGTGTTTAAAATTTAATGGAAGATGTAATAGGTAAAAAGTGTTGTACGTACCTGGGATGTCTCCTCCCTCTGCACATTCTATAAGAGGTTCCATTGCCGGTGGCGCAATCATTGTTTCCTTGTGTGACCTAACGATACCTGACTGTATATCTAGATCAATGTCTTCCTCCATAGCAGAGACATCTGGTGGTGGTGATGATACTGTCCCACCTTCTGTTGCTTCAATATTTAAGGAATAGAGAGATCATTATATACTATGGCCAGAGTTCCTTCAAGGATGTGATTCAAAACTACAGAATCTAAAGTCCCTTACTGTATTTGAACCACAGCAGTGAGGGGCAAGTGGTTTGAAGTCACTCAGCCATGGACACTCCTAATAGTATAGTGGAGAGGCAAATAATAGTTAACTTTACTACTGTTTTATGATAAGCAAAAAAATAATGTTGACTTGATAAAACACTCACTGGCCACTCTTTGTTTCTTAGTCCAGTGTCAAGTGATTATTGATTGGCATGTGATTTTTGATTGGCATAAAGAGGACACTGAACTTTCCAATGAGTCCTCAATCAACAGTTTTTTTTTTGTTTTTACGTCTTTTTTCCAACAGTATTTCAGTCATATAGGCATGTAGTTTCCAAACCATCAGTCCTGGAGAGTTAAAACCATCGTTCTTGGAGAGTTACACCAGTACTAGACTACCTTCCTTCGCGCTAAACTACCAAAGCATCTCCCGGGGATCTTACCCACGACAAAGAGGTAACTAGATCAAAATTCATCAATTCTAACCCCTCGACCACAGAGGCGGTCCATCAATCAACAAAAATGGTGCACAGAGTTATTAGCAGTGCAGAAAAAAGGGTATGAGACAGTACAAAAATCTAAAACATTTCATTATTTTATGACCAAACCCAAGATTATATACATACCAGTCTGTTCTTGCATCACACTTGTTTTTGTTTCTGATTTTGCAGGCCTTTGTATTGGACAACCTTTTGCCATCATGGCTGCCTCTTGCATGCTGGGAAAATCTTCATCCTGGACTGGTTCCTTATCATAATGACTTTTAGACTGTATTCCTTTATTTTTTGTTTGAAAAAGATAAAATATTTAAACATTTACCCACAGGCTACATATTGTCATTGCAAACAATTAAGTTTGAAGGTGCTAGAAGATAATTGTTATTCAATCAAATTGTAACAGGCACATGCTGCAAGGTTAGCACAAGTTCTGACATATGAAATGAATGACTTTAAAATAAGACCAAGTCAACTTTTAATGTTACGCAATTAATAAAATAAAAACTATCAAGAGATAAATGTTTCACCCCCCCCCCCCCCCCCCCCCAACCTGATGATTTTCTAAATTGGACCTGATCTGCTTCCAATTTTCGAGAATATCAAGATATAAATTTGAGCCATGTCACGAAAAAAACCCAACATAATGGGTTTGCCACCAGCATGGATCCAGACCAGCCTGTGCATCCACGCAGTCTGATCAGGATCCATGCTGTTCGCTATCAGTTTCTCTACTTGCTATACTTGCTACTTGCGCAGGCTGGTCTGGATCCCTGCTGGTCGCAAACCCATTATATTGGTTTTGTCATGACGTGGCTCAAATCTTTTTTCAGTTTAAGCAGATAAAGGATTAAGATTCTGGCTTTCAGACAAGAAATGTTTTTCAGTTATGGTTAACTAAAAATTTAATTTGCTTGCTTTTTTCAATTAATACAACAGAGCATTTCATACCTCAGTTAAACATACAGTAGGTCAACAAATAGTAAAAACATTTTTTTTTTAATTGTCTTTGATTAACTTACCTGTACATTTGTTTGCCCAATGCCCTGACTGGCCACATTTGAAACATGCGTCCCCGTAGCTTTTACTACGTGCCTGCATCTTCTCCTTCCACATCTTACGTTTGTACTGCGGGCCGGTCAACTGACGTCCCTTCTTTTTGTAAGTCTTTATTTTCATGTTCAGTCTGATAAAATTGTCATTAGAAATTTTTTTGGCTCTGAAAAATAGAAGAAAAATAGAAAGTTAAGAATACAACCATCAATTTTAATATTTATTTTCCATGTACAGTGTTAGTAAACAGTTTTTCAGAGTCTTATAAGACGCAAATTCTATAGGTTCCCTATAGATTTAACCCTTAGCCAGCTGGCAGTAACTGGTTCTTCCCATGATCAAGATCAGCTGGCATGTCTGTGATATTTGATCATTTTACCTAACAAGAACTGTCGGAGGATGGTAAGGCTAGAATATTCGAAAAAGTTGTCACCAGGGTGTTTTATTGAGTATAATAATGCTTACCTATGAATACATAAAAAGGTACAAAGGCTTGTTATTAAGGTGTTTTATCAAGTAAATCACTGCTTTATTATTATGAATGCATAAAATTATCCTTAAAAAGGCACATACCCTCCAGTAGTTATGGAGATAACAGCTTACAAGCAAAACTTTACCATGAATTTCTAAGTTGAAAAGGGGGAGAAAAATCAGCCTAAATGCAAGATACAGTTATGGAACTTGGTCAGTGACATACAATTATGCCCCTAAATGCATATGTGAAGTTTTAAATAAAAATCTCTGATAGTGATTGGGTTTTGTAAACATTAACCAAGAGACTAAGTGAAAAAGGGGGAGATAAATCAGCCTAAATACATGACATAGATATGAGTGCTGTTTAGTGATCATTATTTATGACCACAAATATATATATATAAATATATTTATGAAGTTTCAGGTTTGTATCTTTAATAGTTTTAGAGATATGCAAAAACTGCATGTTAAACTTAACCAAAAAAGGAGTTTTTTTGTACAAAAGGGAGCATTATTCAGTCAAAATACATGGCAGAGTAATGAATCATGAGATGTGACCTTCAATTATAACCCTAAGTACATATGTAAAGTTTCAAGTAAATATCTTTGAAGACATTTAATCAAAATTTCTAAGTTTCAAAGGTCCAAATCATTCTGCAAACATTGCAATGCAACTTTGCAAACTGATGTGCATTGTTACTATAAAACAATATTGTAAATTTCAATTGAATATATTTGACTTTACAAAAGAACTTAACCAAAATTAATCAAAAAGTTAAAAGACGGGCATAATTCTGTAAATATTGTAGGCAGAGGTATCCAACTTGTCAATTTGATGTACATTGTAACTATATATAAGTATTGTAAGTCTCAAGCAATAATTGAGATATTTGACTTTACAAAAAACTTTAACCAACGCAGACTCTGAAGCAGATGCCAGGGTGACTACAAAAGCTCTCCATATTCTTCGAATAGTCAAGCTAAAAATGATCAATGATATTGCCCAGACTTAAATATGAGATATTGGATTGGTTTGAGTTAATTTATGAGCCATATCATGCTATTTCATCAAAATTTACTTATTTTCCTCTATTCCCCCAACCATTATTCATCAGTTGTCATCTGGTATAGACTTAAATAAAAGTAAGTCTATTGCACAGGTTAGGTTTACATTATGTCTGGCACTACTTTATTATACAAGTCTATCTGTAATGAAAAGCCCCTTTTTATCACATGTTATTTCAAAGCACTACACACAAAAAAAACACAGCAAAGTCATTGAGAAACCATGTCATTGTTTAGAATGTCATCCACTGACTTAAAAATTGATTGAATAGGTCATAACATTTTATATGAAAAGGGTGTAATATCAAGAATTGTAACATCCCCCTTACTTTTCCGCTTTCAAACAACCAAAGCATTTCATTTCATTATTACACAATACATGCTTGCATGTCACATGACATCTATGATGTGGTGTCAATAAACCATTAAGTAGGTCATGAAAATGACTTCTCCATTTAATTTTTATCAATTCTATTGCTGTGAGCATGACAGAATGGAAAAGGATCCTATTTTTTCTCTTGCCTTGTCATATAATAATGCATTGCTTTATCCTTCAAATGCTTTGTAATTAATAAAATTACTGCACATTTTAACTCACACATTGCATTGTTTTACAACAATAAACTCAAAGTTTTTTTATATTTATTCCTATCCTAAGAATTGGCATGTTTATAATACACTAACACAATTAAGTTATGTGATACAAAGCTTTTAAAAATCAATGTATATTACCTTGGAGGTTTCTTTACAACTGATGTTGTTGCCACCTGGCCGTCATCTTCTACAGCCTGAAAAAAAGAAACAAATAGATTCAACATATGAACCACAATTATAAGTAATAGTTTGGAAGTGTGGTGGCTTACCAAAATGATGATGCCAACGTTCAAGTGAGTAGGCTAGATCTCCCTATTATATAAAATTTAATAGTGAAGATAACAAGAGCTGTCCGTAGGACAGCAACGCTCGACTATTCTTTGTTCTTGATAGTAAAAAAAATTGCTTGATACAGTTACCTCCTCCTGTTTACAGGTTGGGGTCATGATGGAGAACAAGTGTGCAAAGTTTTTACATAATGTCTCTGACCATAACTTTGACCCAAGTATTGTCAATAATCTGTTCTCTGCACATCATCTTGTTATGGTTCACATTTCTGCCATGTAGTTTCAATTTCCTTCCATTCATGGTGGTGTAGACAAGAAATTGCTAACAGATGGACCAACTGTCAGGTGTATCATATTATTCACCATTTTTATTTTTGGAGTATCAGAAGACTGAATTTGGCTTCTACTTTATGCATAAATGTCAATGGTATATGCTTCAAGAGAATCATAAGGATAAATATTTTGAATAATAAACTGAAAAACAACTTACAACAGTTCCTTCATTTGTCTTTCTTTTCTTTGCTGCTGGCTGTGCCTTTGATGTTTTCTTTCTTTTTTTTACTGCAATTTCTTCACCATCACTTTCACCAGAATTTTTATCAGGTTTCTCAAACTCTTCATCAGACTCTATGACTCTCCTTTTAGTAGATTTACTTGACTTTGCAACAGTTTTAGCTTTAGCGGACTTGGCCACTGCTTTCCTCTTTGATCTAGGTTTAGGGCTATCACTGTCCGAACCATCATTATAATCAAATTTATTAATATCATTCCCAATGCTATCACCATCTTCACCAGAAACAATATTAACTTTTTGTGGCTCTGCTTTTTTTAAGTCTGCAGGACTTTCAGACCTTTCCTTGTCAATGCTTATTTTATCTTCAGATTTCAATTTCATTTCTTGATATTCACTGTCATTAAAATTTTTAATTTCAGATTCTTTCTTTGCTGCTTTTCTTTTTTCACTCTGATTTTCTTTTTTCTTCATACTTCTTTTAGATCTTTTCACAGCCTCATTCTCATCATCTCTTATGAGTTTAGAGACTGGCATATTCCAAGAGTGTCCGCCTGTCTCTCCACCTTTATCATCATCATCATCCTCCTCATCACGATGATCAGTTTCATTGTCAAATTTAAATTCGTCATGATCAAGCTGCTCTTCCTCAATCATCATCTCCTCTCTACGCTTACTGATCAAGCTTGACAATTTACCAGGTAGGAATGTCTGTTTTGGTTTGGCTTTAGTTTGGAACTTATTCATAAACACGTCTGAACCTGGTTCTTCTGAATCTTGCACTTTACCCTTATACTTAGTAATAGAAAATGCCTTTTCAAAAACTTTTCCAAAATTTGCATGTTTTGGAACTTCTACAGGATTTGGACAACCATCGACATCATCAGGACCATCTGCAGTTTCTTTATAAATATAAGAGATATAATTCTTATACAAAATTGTAATAGTCTATCCTGAATTTAATTTACAAACTCTCAAGAACCGTTGTTATATCAGAAATCTGTAATATAATCTGTGAATGCTATTATATTAAACTGTCTGACATTTTCAGAATACTTATGAAAAAAAATAGGATAAAGGTTGTTGTATTCTTGGTAAATACAATAGGACAATGCCCTGAACAGTGTTGCTTATATTTAAAGCAGGGGTGTTTTTTTAGGACTTCAGAGAAAAATATTTTATGAGGAAAAGTTTTGGACTAATTTAAGAGGAAAAGTTTTGAACACTTTTTTTTTCTGAAAAAAATAAAAACAGTGCTGTTAAAAGACATAACATATTGAAGATTTTTTTTATCTATAATGTGTTTGTTTTTACAATGCTTGAATGGAAACAGTACATGTATTTCAATATTTAATAAATTATAAAACACTTTGAGTGTGAATGGTGATAAAAAAAAGGCCACTGCAAGCAGTATTGAGTCAGGACAGCCTTTACTTTAATCCCAGTATAATAGGACCAGGCCCACACTGTTTGTTACCAACTTTTCGGATTTCCCTATCTCAATCCCCTCAACAAAAAATACAAAATCTATGTACATCAATCAGATGCAGCTGCATTGTTTACAAGACCATAAATGCTTTTTCTTTGCCTTCTAATCAAATGGTGGTTAACGACCTTATTCTCAGTCACTATTTTGCACAAAAAGGTGTTTAAACTCAAAGACCATATTTATAAAATCTATCTTTAAACAAAATAATATGATATATGAGCCGAAAACACTACATTGTATATGTAACTATACCTGGCATATCATTTAACCTGTCATTGGGTTCACCAGCATCTGGTTTATAAGGTTTTACAGGTCTCGGTGTGTCAGGTTTTTTCCATAGTCTTGTTTGTTGTTTCATCATCTGTTATATAACAAAATTTGTGTGATTTAACCAACAAAATCATACAGTAAATCATAAACCTGTATATATTCTGGAAACACAGACTGCCAAATGAAGCAATTTCCCCAAATTTCGACATTGCCTTATTTTCTCAATTGCAATGCTAAAGTTGTTTTATTTAGAAGTAAAAATTAGCATTAAATGTTGACAGTCAAAGAGAAATAATTCAACCTAACAGATTTGCAAGGACACCTAAATAGAGTTTTTCCCCTTTACATGAATTTATATAAAAAATGTTGGTATATTACAAATTAAACAGAATAAAGATTCTCACAACATCTTGCCAGAAGATTCCTTGATTTGCTTGCAATATCTTCCAGATTATTTCATTATCTAATGAATTCTATAAGGGTTTCCATCTGATATTTTCTTTGTCAGAAAGAGTCTCACCAAAGTTAGCTTAGTTCGATAATGTCTTTCAAATATTGACTAGGGGTGTGTGGAAGGTTGAATTTTACATTAGCATGACTCCTTTTTAGCCATTGTTGCAGACAGGATGTGTGATGTCACACTGACGTATTTATTAACTTGAGTTTCGCAAATTTTGAATTATTAAAAATAAAACTGTCTTTGATACATGTCACGTTATTATAAATCTATAAATACCGACTTAAATATTTATTTTCATGTAAAAACATGAGTGCTCAATAAAGATAAAGTAATTCCTTTTTCTTAACTAAAGGCTTCCTAGCTCAGCATCATGGTACATGTTAATTTTATTTCGGTAAACATCGCATAATTCATTATCGAATTGTACTTTCTTTTTACTTTTAAAGTGTGAGAAACAGAAAAATGTATAATAAAAAAATAAGATCGCAATCCACGGTCTCTGAACTGACAAATATTTTTCCGCGATTTTTAATTTTGATTTGTGATTATCCAAGTACTTGGATACACACCCCAGCCTAAATATTGGCTTGGTTAGATAAGCTGCTTCTAATATTTGCTTAGTTAAAAGAAATTCACTGTCATTTGCTTGGTCAGTATCTACCCTTCATTATTTGCTTTTTAAGAGAAACCAACTCTGATATTTCCTTGGTAAGAAAGAACTTCCTATCAACCTCAGTTTAATTAGAAAGAATATCACAATAATATTTGCTTGGTAAGAGATGATACCCAATTGATATTTAATTTTGCTTAATAATTTCTCACCTAATATGACTCAATGACAGTGATTGTTTCTCAACAAACAAGAGCTGTCGGTAGGACAGCACACTCGACAATTCTTAGTGCTAGATAGTAAAAGACCCTTGATAATGTAAAATTTTCTAAATTAACAAAAGGGTTAATTTTTTCTTTAAATCCATGTTACAGTTGTAGGCCTTGGAATAAGTCCTATTATGCTTTCAAAGAAGTGTATAAAATTTAAACTTGTTTCAAAAGCCCTATGTCAATGGAATATGAAAATATCTAAGGTGGTATGTAAACTTTAATGTAAATTCTAAGTAAATGGAAAAAGGGACAAACTTCTGTCAAAATGCTTGATAGAGTTAACTTCTCTTGTGCAAACATTGGATGCATGATGGTGAACAAATTTGCAAAGTTTCAAAGCCATATATCAATGGCCTTTGAAAATATTTGAGGTGGTATGCAAATTTTAACATACGTGGTTACGCCAATGCTCGGGTGAATAGGATTATTAGCTCAACTTATTCTTATCAAATAGTCATTTTTTTTTGTCAAGCTAAAATCATATAATTTCCAAAATATTTCTACATGTATAAATACCTGGGCTTTGTTCAATTTCAATGACTGCTGATACATCTTATTTCCTAATTGTTTCAAGAAAGACGGTGGTTTATTCTTTTCAGGCTGACAACTATTCCCTGACAAACTCTTGTCTGTTGTTGACACCTTCCTATCAAATTGACTTCCCCACACTTCAAAATTGTCAGCATTTTCATTATCAGGTTCGTCATCCACATTTTCATCTGTATATTCACCCTTTGAACTTTTATCTATTATCTCCCCTTCATTTTGAGTTAAATTTTCATTTGTTATCTCCCTTTCATGTTTATTTATAGCATTTTGGAATGTAGTTTCATTGTTTGTATTTGATATTGTGTGTGTTGTACTATCAGCACTTATGTTATCCTTTCTTGGTGTTGGTGCTGTTTTTTTCAGTTTTGTGTACTTAACATATGTTTCTGAAATGGTAATATATAAAATGTCAACGATACATTTAAAATTAACAAGATATGTTTGTAAAACATGTATGCCCCCTATCAGCAGCCAATTAGTCATGTGATAAGGTTATAATGCATGACTTCTGACCCAGTGATCAAAAAATTAATAAGGGTTATCAAGTATCTACTGGTCATGACCTTAACCTTTGACCCCTTGACCCAAAACTCAATAGGGGTCATCTGCTGGTCATGACCAATCATCATACAAAGTTTGAAGTTCCTAGGCCTAAGCGTTTTTAGTTAATTTATCGGAAACTGTTTTTACCTACAAGGTCAATGTGACCTTGACCTTTGACACCTTGACCCCAAAATCAATAGGTCATCTGCTGGTCATGACCAATCACCATACCAAGTTTGAAGTTCCTAGGCCTAAGCGTTCTTTAGTTATTGATCAAAAACCGGTTTTACTTACAATGTCAATGTGACCTTGACCTTTGACCCCTTGATCCCAAAATCAATAGGGGTAATCTGCTGGTCATGACAAATCACCATACTAAGTTTGAAGTTCCTAGGCCTAAGTGTTCTTAAGTTATTGATCAGAAAGCGTTTTTACTTACAAGGTCAATGTGACCTTGACCTTTGCCCCTTGACCCAAAACTCAATAGGGGTCATCTGCTGGTCATGACCAATCATCATACAAAGCTTGAAGTTCCAAGGCCTAAGCATTTTTAGTTAATTGATCGGAAACCGTTTTTACCTACAAGGTCAATGTGACCTTGACCTTTGACCCCTTGACCCCAAAATCAATAGGTCATCTGCTGGTCATGACCAATCACCATACCAAGTTTGAAGTTCCTAGGCCTGAGGGTTCTTAAGTTATTGATTGGAAAGCATTTTTACCTACAAGGTCAATGTGACCTTGCCCTTTGACCCCTTAACCCCAATATCAATAGGGGTCATCTGCTGGTCAGGACCAATCACCATATCAAGTTTGAAGTCTCTAGGCCTAAGGGTTTTGTCGTTATTGATCGGAAACCGTTTTTACCTACAAGGTCAATGTGACCTTGACCTTTGACCCCTTAACCCCAAAATCAATAGGGGTCATCTGCTGGTCATAAACAATCACCATACCAAGTTTGAAGTTCCTAGGCCTAAGGGTTCTTTTTTTATTGATCAGAAACCGTTTTTACCCAAGAGGTCAATGTGACCTTGACCTTTGACCCCTTGACCCCAAAATCAATAGGGGTCATCTACTGATCAGGACCAATCACCATACCTAGTTTGAAGTTCCTAGGCCTAAGGGTTCTTTTGTTATTGATCAGAAACCGTTTTTACCCAAGAGGTCAATGTGACCTTGACCTTTGACCCCTTGACCCCAAAATCAATAGGGGTCATCTACTGGTCATGACTAATCACCATACCAAGTTTGAAGTTCCTAGGCCTTAAAGTTCTTTAGTTATTGATCGGAAACCGTTTTTGCTTACAAGGTCAATGTGACCTTGACCTTTGACCCCTTGACCCCAAAATCAATAGGGGTCATCTACTGGTCATGACCAATCACCATACCAAGTTTGAAGTTCCTAGGCCTAAGGGTTCTTTAGTTATCACTCGGAAACCATTTGGTCTACGGACCGACGGACCGACAGACCCACGGACCGACAAGTGCAAAGCAATATACCCCCTTTTCTTCGAAATGGGGGCATAATAAATCGCTAAAAAAATCATAAGATTTTATAAAAGGTTCCTCTGAAAGTAAATATAAATGAAAAACAGATGCATAGTGTAACAAGGGTGCCATAGTCACAAAATACGCCCGTTTACGAAAAAGCTTTAGATGGAGATGGGGGCATTATGGATAAGTGTTATCTAGCAAGCAAGTTTTTATTCTTGGCACTGTGTTGTTAAATGAACCTTAAAACAAATCAATAGGGAAGATATGCACAGAATGTGTGACCTTGACCTTGGTCGCAGGGACCTGAATTTTATGCACGGCACTCAGCCTCACAATGATGAACATTTGTGCCAAATTATATTGAAATCCCTCTATGCATGTAGAAGTTTTGCTCCAGACAAGTGTTTTTCTATGAGCTCTAACTGTGACCTTCACCTTTGACCTAGAGACTTGGTTTATGTGCAGGGCACTACGTCTCATGGTGGTGAACAATTCTATAAAAGTAACATTAAAATTCCTCCATGCATGTAGAAAATATGCTCCGGACAACATCTGGATATTTAATCATCTCCAGTGACCTTGACCTTGCAAATATTAACCTAAATTAAATGTGTAACACCTGTAGTCATGATAGTTACCATTTGTGCTACAATCCATCAATAAATGATGACTAAATGGTCCCTATAACCATCTTCAAATTTTTATCTGAACTTTGACCTCTATGTGTAACCTTGACTTTGGTCGCAGGGATCTGAATTTTGCATGCGACACTCAGCCTCACAATGGTGAACATTTGTGCCAAGTTATATTGAAAACCCCCTATGAATGTAGAAGTTTTGCTCCGGACAAGCGTTTTTCAATGAGCTCTAAGTGTGACCTTGACCTTTGACCTGGAGACCTGGATCATGCATGGAGCAATACATATCATGGTGGTGAACATTTCCATAAAGTATTATAAAAATTCTTCCATACATGTAGGAGATATGCTCCAGACAAAATCTGGATATTTCACCATCTTTAGTGACCTTGACCTTGCATATATTGACCTAAAGTACATGTGTCACAGCCGTAGTCATTATAATGACCATTTGTGTTACAATCCCTCAATAAATGATGATTAAATCGTCCCTATACACATCTTCATATTTTTATCTTTTTTTTAAACGGGCGTATAAAAAGTACATGAAATTGTAATTTAATAACTAAAAAATTCTGATTTAAGATTTTATTCTAGGGAAATACACTTCATTACAATTCTTAATCTTTGAATGAGCTGAACTGATATTTACTTGAAAATTAAAATATAATTAAATTTCTATGAGAAAGTATTTACATTTGATAAGGTAATTACTGTATGATCTTTATGAACAAATACCAAGTCTACAGAACACCATAGTTATCACAGTTAAGAATCTTGACCAATGAATGAAACATGTGTAAATAAATGATACATTCTTTAGAACATACTCAAGTCCAAGAAAGAGGATTATTTCATGCCCTTTGATTAAATTCTATTTTTAGAATTGAAAGTGAAAGGGGAGTAATTGTGTAAGTCATTTATGAACAAAGTAATAACTTTGTTGTCTCCCTTTGATTAAATTCTATTTACAAAATCTGGATATTTCATCATCTTTAGTGACCTTGACCTTGTATATATTGACCTAAATTATATGTATCACAGCCATAGTCTTGATAATGACCATTTGTGTTACAATCCCTCAATAAATGATGACTAAATGGTCCATATACACATCTTCATATTTTTATCTGAACTTTGACCTCTATGTGTGACCTTGACCTTGGCCGCAAGGACCTGAATCTTGCACGCGACACTCCGCCTCACAATGGTGAACATTTGTGCCAAGTAATATTGAAATCCCTCTATACATGTGGAAGTTTTGCTCCGGACAAGCATTTTTCAATGAGCTCTAAGTGTGACCTTGACCTTTGACCTAGAGACCTGGTTCATGTGCGCGACACTGCTCCTCATAGTGGTGAACATTTTTATGAAGTTTCATTAAAATCCCTCCATACATGTAGGAGATATGCTCCGGACAAAATTGGACGCCGCCCGCCCGCCCGCCCCGCCGCCGCCGACCGCCCGCCCGCCAGGGGCGTTCCCATAATACGTCCCGTTTTTCAAACGGGCGTATAAAAATTATAAAAAAAAATGTTTTACAAAACCAAAATTGTATTTTCAGCCTGTCGATTACAATATCCCTCTTGACCCTTAGACAGATCAGTTGTTGTTGTTGGCACATCTGTTGCCTCACATAAAAATGAAAACCCTGCCTTTACCTCATTGTTCAAAAATAAATGTCAAGCATATGAAAGTAAAATCAACTAACCTTTAATTCTATCTGGTGCAGAGTCAATGTCAACCTGAAATATATATCTAGTAATTTATACAAAGTTGATTTTAACCGCATGCAATGGGAAACAAGGTATTTTTTCAAAATAAAACAAAAGTTTTGCTTTAATATATTTTTTTAGATGATACATAAAGGCATAAAATAAACAGTCAAATCTATACAAATGTAGCCTATGATTGAGGCATTGATATCTTTTGCATATTCATAACATATGCGCTATTCCATTCTAGATTGTGTGTATTTTAGTTAGAATTTCCGCTAGTATCAGTGTGGATTTGCTAAACCAGAGTACATAAAAACAAATCTACAGACTTGAACCGAGGCTAACGCACAAAAATCACAAGGGGTGCGTTCATTCAATGTCATCCTTCCTTGTTGATCATTGTTCTCGTTCTTTACAAACTTAAAATGCCCGATTCCAGGGGAGGGGGAGTGAAAGGCTTATGTTCACAGTTTGACTTTATTATGAGATTGCCTTAAACTCTTCCTAGTCTCAAATAAAAAACACTAGAAATGTGTGCATAGGACACCGTTGCCCCCATACTTCACTGTTTTGTCAATCTTATGACTGTAGGTCAATATTTTTTGGGCTACATGTGCAACAAGGTGGAAACTAAAAATCTTTTATTTAGTAAAGGGCAAGAACTTTACAAATACTAAATAAATCCATAAGCAAACCCCAAAATGCATAAGTACACGTGCTGACCAACATTCTTGTAAACTTTACGGCCTACAGGTCAAATACTTCTTGAGATATGCATGAACAAGTTGAAAAATGCAAATTTATACTAAGTCCAGGGTAATAACTCTAACAAAACTGAAAATAATCCACAAACAAAATCCCAGGTGCATAGCATCACAGTGATGTTGATCATTATTCCTGCAAAGTTTATAGATTCTAACTCAAGCACTCAAGGTACAAATAACTCAACATAATGAATTGTTTTTTACTAAGTCAAGGGTAATAACTCTACAAATACTGGATAAATCCACAAGAGAAATCAAATGTGCACAACAACATATGCTGACCAAAATCCCTGTAAAGTTTCATGACTAGGTTAAATACACTTTGAGCTATGCATGACACAAATTGAAAACTACAAATTTTCAGTTAGTTAAGGGCAATAACTCTGACAAAACATTAATTCACAAGCCAAACCCCAGATGCAAAACTTCACATGCTGATCAACATTCCTGTAAACTTTCATAATCCTATGTACAGCTGTATGGGAGATAATGAATGGAAACTGAAAATTTCTTCTTTTTTTTCAAAGTTCAAGAGGGATGACACTGTCAAAAATCATCAAACCATGACCAAATTTGACCTTGACCTGCATATTCCTATGACATAATTTTTATTAATAAATTAAATTTGAGTTGAATGTGTAAAATTATTGGAGAGAAAATGAACAAAAACTGAAATTTCTATTTTTTTCAAAGTTAAGAGGCATAATTCTGTCAAAAATCATCGAACAATGACAAAATTTTAACTTGACCTAGACATTCTTATGGCATACATCATTAATTTTTTTTAGTTGAATGTGTACAACCATTGGGTAGATAATGAACAGAAACTGAAAATTTCTTATTTTTTTCAAAAGTGAAAGGGGCATAACTGCCAAAAACCATCGAACCATGACCAATGTCCAAATTCCAACATGACTTGGGCATTCCTTTGAGGTATCAAATATAAAATACTACATAGTTACAAGAATCAAATCAAAATATCAAATCAGGTTGAAAGAAATCAAATTGAACATTTGGTGAATCACTGTGCACAGCCTTCAACCCTTTAGCAACATGGTTAGTGCCATCCATATACTCGAGAGGTTGGATCAATGCCCCTTTTAAGGTATACAATAACACATATACATGTATCATATATAGTAATCCAAGAATTTATTCTAGCAAGCATCCCTCTTATCCCAATGAGTGCTTATTCAGTGTTTCTGCCAGAGCGCGTTTTTGCGTTTTTGGCGCACTATTTTCAGCCATGACGCAATGAAATTTAGTTAGTGCGAATTTTGTGACGCAAGAATTTCACCATCGCTGATTTCAACACAAGTCAGATATACAGACTATAAACTCTCAATTCAGTATAAAAATGTACGGAATGTTTACCGTGGGCTCCACTATAATTTTAATGAGAAATGAAATTTACCGGGTCCGTGGTCCGGCATTTAGCCAATTTCAACTAGTTAATAAACGCTTGCATTTATACGTTACTGCATATATTGAAAGCGCCCAGACAAAATTATTTATTTTGTTGTCGTCATATTCTGCGAACGAATAACTGTCTGCTGGAAAATGCAGTCTGCGTATATGTTAGTGTTCATCTCTGCTGTTCTACAGAAATTAGAAACTTCAAAGGGAGCGATAGCGACAGGAGAATGTTTCTAATTTCTGTAAAACAGCTAAGGATGAACACTAACATATTTAGTGTCAAGCTTTATTTGGCCCTTGATTACGTCACTAGGCGGTACTATGAAGCACTATGAAAAATAGAAGGCGACTATGAACGAATTTCAATATAGTATCGACTTTCTTTCTTCTATGAAAATTAACACACATAATTTTTAAGAAATACAGCGTTATTATTGGATGACAAATAATCCAAAATAGCAGAGATTGACCAATTTCTTCACGAAAAATATACAAAATATTGTAAATAAAACTTATAAAGTGTTACCTGTTGTTTTTTTTTACATTTTTGTTAAATTTATTGGCATGACCCTTATGAATTTTAAATGACCCCTAAAATATCATACAGGGGGTCATAAAAGACCCTCAGAAAATCAGAGCTGGCAGAAACACTGCTTATTTATTATAAAGCCAAGAGTAAATATTTCATATTAACCTAAATTTTATATATTGTCTTGATCACTGACAAAGTAATAAATACCAGTAAAAGTCTGTGAAAGTACAGTTCTTATCATTGTTGAAAATTTTGGGAAATTCTGAGTACTGTTGTACCCAAGAACACCATAATTTGTGACAATAACATTTCAAAATCATTGTCATGCATGTACATGTACCTTATTTGGTTTTCGGCCATTCTCTTTCCAAAACTCCGTCTCCCACTGTTTCAAGGCTCTTTTAAGATCCACAACATCTGCCATTTGAGGATTTTTTTTATCTAAAATTAGACATAGTACATAACTACTTTATCTGAATCAACAGAGGATTTTAATGCATACATGTAGATTCTACAATGAATGTTTAGGAGAAAACGCTATCGCGAAAATATGTTGCTTAATAGTGCTGATCAGACTACATTTCTTAAAACATATAAATAAAGGTAGGTAAAACTAGAAAATGACCTTGACAAATATCTTCTTTCACCTAAAATGGTTGTCACTCTTTAATAACTCAAAAACTAGAGGAAAAGTTATAACTTTATATCTTTAAATTTGACAGATTTCCGCGCTAAATCAAAGTCAGTCAGGCGCTTGTTTTCATGATTTTTAAGGTTGAACATGGATAAATTTTTATCTTCATTATTATGGTGTACTAAATTTAATTAGTGCTCGCCAATTTTTTTAAGCCAATCACCGACGAGGATTTTTCAAATTTTCAGGTTTCAAATCTTAATAGAACAGATTTTATATAAACTGGACGTTTTATATTATAAAACGCAAGTGGGCGGAGCTAAGTTTCGAAGAGCGCTAAAGTGAAATATACGCATGTGCAGAGATCTTGAAGTTCACGCCTACTAATCAATATTTATGCATCATGTTTTTTCCGTACACGCACATGTATATCGTCACTACGGCATAGAATTAAAAAAAGAGGTTCATTGAAATGAAAACAGGCAAAATAACAGTAAAAATGTTTTATTATACTTACGGAACCAGTATCATTTTATAATTTCCAAATAAAAAGTTCACTTATTCCAACAAAGTATATATTTCTTACTTTTAATGTAAATATTATGTACAGCCCGTGCCGCTGCAAAACCGAAAGTAGGGCGTTTTTATTAATTTTACATTTTTTTTGACAATATACTCACTGCCATTTGTCCGAAGATGATATGTATATGAACATAATAAATGTGTATGATGCATATATAATCAAGCTACAGGTTCATTTCAGCCCGGAAAATATGTCGAGGTGACGGGCGAGGCAAGACATGTCGACTTTTGTAGCTTATTGTGAAGTTGCAGTACATGAAAATCGGGCACATGACAAATCAGCACATAAATAAAACATTCAAGTGTTCCGTGGTATACATCTTTTCTACGTGTCATACCTCCTTTCCTTATTACAATGAATTTTTACTGCATTGTTATCCATCGCTGGTTTGTTTTTTAGCAGAGAATGACCTGTGTATGTTCAAAGAGAGTACCGTTTGAGAATATTTCGCAAAGAGGGTACCGATATGGATATGCATCGTGATATTGTCTGATTTACCTAGACAGAATGCGGGAATAAGCTATGCAAAACACGTGATCCGAAAATGTGTACCGCTACCTCTTCCAAATATGGTTATACACATTTAGGCTATCGTGTGACGTCACGCAGTGTGTTGGGCGGAAAAAAAATGGGCGGAGCACTAAGCCGGTTAGAGTGCATATTGGATGTTCTTCGTAAATTAGAAAGCTACAGTCGCTTCGCAAGCTCCGCTCCTTTTTAGCTTTCTTATTTACGAAGAACACCCAATATGCACTCTAACCTATACGTAATAGAAATAAGACAATCGTAACAACTCGGCAATCTCCGTCAAGTTCGGAAAATTCTTGAAGTCGCCCGAGGAGTTCCGATTGAGAAATAAGATAAACACATTTAGTATTTCTTTTCATAAAGTAATAAAATACAAAAAAATAGGATAAAGTTTACTGAGTTTCGAAAATATCGTTGCCATCTTTGAATCACTATTTATCTTGTTTCGAACCGGATATCGACAACAAACATTTAATAACAACTTTTTAGAAAGATACATATGTAAAAGAATATTTAGCATCTTTTCTTGCTATCCTTTTTAGTTTTAAATTGAATTGATTATTCATGAAAAGATTTCATTAATTTTCATTTGTTCATCATGCAGTGCTCACGAAAAATCTAATGAGGACCAAAATGTAAGAAAACATAAAAATTGGAGTTGTTAGATTTTTATAAATCAACTGTGTTCAGTTTCTTTTTCTTTAAACCTAAGAGTTAAAAAACCAGTTTTAACTTAGTAAAAATGAATTGAAAATTCTTTTTCTATGTGAGTCTAAGCCCGATTTTGGCTAACAGCGATAAAACGCTTTTCATTTATATATAAGTCATTTTGAACAATAGTTTGAATGATCTAGTTTTTTAGGGTCAGACATCAAGGCCCTGCATTTAAAAAATCACTTAAGTCCCAATAATTATATATAGTCAGCAAGATACTACTCTTGAACACGGCATATATTATTAGTTTTAAAAAATATCACATGTTATATGGCCCTATATAAACTGTTGTGTTGATATATAACCCAAGCTGCTAGGTCGTATATCCAGCCAGGAATATTGATAACGAATTTATTATATAGCAAACTTCTTCTTTTTTATCCCCCGCCGAAAATTTTCGGCGGAGGATATAGAAATAGTCTCCGTCCGTCCGTCCGACCTTCCGTCCTTCCGTCCGTCCGTCCGACCTTCCGTCCTTCCGTCCGTCCGTCCTTCCGTCCGACATTTTTGTCCGGAGCATATCTCTAAAAGTATTTGAGTTATCAACTTGAAACTTCATAGGTGGATAGACCTCATTGAGGAGGAGTGCAGTGCACAAGAATGATAACTCTACCTTGCATGATTTTTTAGTTATTGCCCTTTGTTATTTTTCAAAATTGATTTTTGTCCAGAGCATAACTCCAAAAGCCTATGAGATATTAACATGAAACTTCATAGGTGCATAGATCTCACTCAGGAGGTGTGCAGTGCACAAGAATGATAACTTTACCTTTCATAATTTTTGAGTTATTGCCCTTTGTTATTTTTCATACCTAATTTTTCACCTGAGTGGAGCATAACTCAAAAAGTGTTTGAGATATCAACATGAAATGTCATAGGTGGATAGATCTTATTGAGGAGGAATGTTGTGCGCAAGAATGATAACTCTTTCCTATACAATTTTTGAGTTATTGCCCTTTGTTTTTTTTCATGCTATTTTGTCCAGAGCTTATCTCAAAAAGTATTCGAGGTATCAACTTGAAACTTCAAAGGTGGATGGATCTCATTGAGGAGGAGTGCAGTGCTTAAGAATGATAACTCTACCCTGCATTATTTTTGAATTATTGCCCTTTTTTATTTTTCAAAATTAATTTTTGTCCAGAGCATAAATCAAAAAGCCTTTGAGATATCAAAATGAAACTTCATAGGTGCATAGATCTCACTCAGGAGGTGTACACTGCACAAGAATGATAACTCTACCTTTTATAATTTTTGAGTTATTGCCCTTTGTTATTTTTCATACTTAATTTTTCAATTCAATTTTTTTCTCAAAAAGTATTTGAGGTATCAACTTGAAACTTCATAGGTGGATAGATTTAACTGAGGAGGAATGCAGCACACAAGAATGATAACCTACTCTGCATTATTTTTCAGTTATTGCCTTTTGTTATTTTCAGCCATCAGTATTCACATAGGTTTCAAATCTGTAATCACTATAGCCATCAGTTTTCATTACCAAAAGACCTCTTAAAATGGAGTTATTCTGCTCTACTACATATACATTCTTCCAATGAGCAAACACATTCGGCGGGGGATGGCCATGTTGACATGACTCTTGTTTTTTTTTTTTGGGGGGGGGGGGGTGAAAACGTGAAATTTCTTCAAATATTGACAGCACCCGTATATATTTTTGGTTATAAAGATTTTACTCTTTTATTTTTTCATCCTTTTGCCCCTTTTCTTGTGTAATTGTGTAAATGAATGAACATCTTACCTTTAAAATGTCTTATATATTCTGATATAATACCCGACTAAAACATAACAAAACAAATTTTAATTTTTTTAATTATCTACATATCAATGTAAATGCTAAAGTTATCATGGTTTTATTCTCGTATTTTTTTAGAATAAACGGGTTTTAAACGTGGTTCAAAAAAAAAAAAAAAAAAAAAAGATTTTTGAACGGTTATTTGGAAATATAACCAGAGTCACTAAGGTTGTAAATGTATGTATGTACATTCATAATAGATTTATCCGTTTGTATTATATAAACAGTTTATCTTTACGTTATAATTATCACACTTACTTAACAGGTAACATCATATTATCGGATTTTTTTTTAATTTGTTGATGACTATATTTTTAAACCGCCACGACTCTTAATTGTGGCTCCGAAAATGAGAACGATCCACAGGTTGTTATTGTCCTCGGCAAAATTTTCAACAAACGAAATTAATGGATTAATTAACTTACTTATACTTACAGTACAGAACTTACATTTTTAACTCCAGCCTAAATGTACACAAAATGTTTACCATGGGTAGAAACTGCGGGGAAAAATCATGGTTAAGGTCAAATTGTGGCATTCTAGATAGGGCCTCAACATATTGTATGTTGGTATTTGTTCTTTAAGTATTTTCTTATTAATTTTTAACTATTTTGCTATGTAAATGGAAGTTCCCTAGTTACTATAACACTATATAAAGTTAACATCTCTAATAAACTAAAATTAAACCTATATAGATGTATTTGCTTATTTCAACGACACTTGCAGCTCTACATTGATAAGTTGAACAAAAAGCATCTTGTTCAAACACGTTAATCTTATTATCAAATTACACTCAGAGAAGCAAAATCCAGCAATTTCAAAACGAGGCTTTGACATAATCTTTTCGTTGAAAGAAACCTCAAAATAAACGCAAGAAACGCCAATATTATTCCAGGTTTCTATTGACAACAGTGTTTTTGTCGTTGCTGTTATAGTTTGTTTTACTTTTAACTTATTTCCGGTTACTTGATGAAGGTGTTGATCCTGTTACGACCATCTTACCTGAACTCTAATAGGTGGAATCAGTTTGAAACTAGATAATAAAATATTAATGGCTCTAAACGAGAATTTCGAGAATATACAGATGATAAGAAAACATAAGTCCCTTTAAAGTCAGTCTTGAAATAGAGAATTTTATCGACAGCAGTTAATAATTGATAGTGATTAGGCTTTGGCACTTGAGTTTAATCTACAAAAACAATTTTACACAGTTGGATCTAACAATGGATGTATCAAGAGGAATTTTAGTTTATATAGTTGTAGGTTAGTTAAAATATTTCATTTAATTTTCTCATAATATCTTTTATTTCTGTGCGAGCAGCTGTCGGCTGCTGTTTGAAAAATTTAAGCTAACCTTTAGAGCGGCTGGTGGAAAATGATTCCACCTATGTGACAGTGCATATCATAGTCAGCCGTACCAGTCCGCTTTTTAGTCAGTGATGAATATATTTGTCTAGATTTAAAGATGAACACTTCTTAGATATTTAGC